ATATATATATATATATATAAATATAATTTTATTGCACACATATCTTGTTTACAGTTGCTCAACACTTTTGAGAAAAGAAGGGAAAAAAAAGAAAAAAAATTGTTTACTTTTAAGAGGAAATTTTTACAAATTTTTTCATTTTTATTGTTAGTGTTTATATAATTTTTACATTTTATTATTGGATATAGTTATAAAAATATGTACTGTATGTTATATATACATATATATATATATATACATATATAAAAGAAAATAAGATAATAATAATAATAATAATAATAAGCTTAGGCGTTGTTTGTGCAAATTGGACGACAATCACGTTCGAATGTTCGTTGTTCTTCTCTAAAATTCATGAATAATAAGATATACAAATTGTCTTTTTTTTTATTTATTTCCTGTTTTTTCTTTCTAAAAATTTAATTTATATACGAGAACTTCGAATGGTTTAATACTTTGTATCCTATGAAACGTGAAGGCCGCACAATTCTTTATTAATTAATTCTCTTTTGCGGATCTGATTGCCTTCGAAAATCCGATTTATAATTATAAAATTTCCGTAAAAAAAAAATAACTAGTATGTTTAAGGATTATTTTTGTACATTTGTACGCAGTCCTGGGAAAGTACAATTACCTCTCTTACCTAACGACATGTATTTGTCGGCGATCAAAGTACTAAAAAATAAATAAATAATCATGTTGTCTTCGCAGTGATGTCTCCATATATCTATGCACAAATGCTGAAAATAAAGTGGAATGTTTTAACTGTTTGTTGCTTTTTTTTATTATTAATTTATTAAATTAAATTTACACAAAAATAAACATCTGTCTATGGGCGTTACAACGATTCATTTCCAGAAAAAAAATATATATATATTTTTAAAGAATTCAAAACCTTTTATCTATTGAATTTTAAATTATAATATTTATTCTATCCAATTATAAATTTTAAACTGTAAAAAAATGTAATAAATAATGTAATTTTAATGTTTTTTTTAATGTAGTTTGTTTAGAAACCGTTTATATTTTTTAATACAGATAAATTCAATTATCTTATTTATATCATTAAAAAAATAAGTATAAAAATTCACGAATTTTAATTTAATTTAATTTATTCTTAAATCAATTTAAATATTTTAAATATTTTGCCATTAAAATGCATGTTTTGCGGAGCGCTTAATTAAGATTTTATGTATTAAAGAATATTTTTTAATTGTAGGGAATTTTTTTTTTGGTGTGTGTGTGTTTAAAAAACTTCAATTGTCAACAAGAATAATAAAAAAAATCGGGTATTTAGAATGTAGACAGCCAGAAAAAGCGTGAATTTAGCAGCATTTAGGTTAGCGAGAGACAAAGAAAAGTAATTTTACACGGTATGAAAAGTTTAAATGTTTCTTTTGTTTTAAAGATAATTTCCTTTCCTAAACATTTTAAAAAATATAATCAAAATATTCTTCTAAGATGTCATTTAATATAAATTATGCCTTCGACCTCGACCAACTTCAACAATACCATGATATGATATTGTATGGAACAAATGAAAACAGAATAAATGAATTTTTTTCTTTTGATAATTTTTTAACAGAACAAATTAATCATTTTGCTGATTTTTCAACAGAATAAATGAATTTTTTTTACTAATTTTTCAACAGAATAAATTAATCTTTTTGCTGCTTTTTCAACAGAATAAATGAAATTTTTTGCTGATTTTTCAGTAGAATAAATGAAATTTTTTGCTGATTTTTCAGTAGAATAAATGAATATTTTTACTTATTTTTCAACATAATAAATGAATTTTTTTACTAATTTTTCAACAGAATAAATGAATTTTTTACTAATTTTTCAACAGAATAAATAAATCTTTTTACTGATTTTTCAACAGAATAAATGAATTTTTTGCTGATTTTTCAACAGAATAAATAATTTTTTTGTTGATTTTTCATTACAATAAATGAATTTATTAAGTAATAATAATTATTGTTTTCTTAATAAAGTAAAACATGATGAATATTTAAAGATGTCGGCATTAAAAAAAAGGGGAGGAGATAATTTGGAAGTGTCACACTATTGATGCTTTGGATTGTTGCCAGCAAAACAACGTTTGAAATCAGGCTATCCTCCGATAACATGTTTGCCAGTCCTGTAATCGCAAAACAAGTATTCCTAGCTTAATAATGCATCCCGGAGATTCTTTATTACATAAATATGTAGAGAGAGGGGGAACTCACTTACATCTGTAACAATCACGTGTACGGAATTCCGAAAAAATTTCGCTTCTGTAACAATTAATTAATACGGTTCTTAATCTTCACTCGTGTATTTTTTTATTCCTGGCATTTTTGGAGGTTAATAACGCTTAAAATACCACCCAAAACAAATAAATAACGGCAATTTAAATTGGTAAAATTATAGCTATACTTTTCGTTTTTAATAGCCGTAATTATGTAATTATAATTACTAGAAATGAAGATTATTTATATAATTTAACTACGTTTAAATAATAATAATAATCTTTACAATTATTATTATTATTATTAATTTACAGAATGGAAGTTTGTAGTATCGGTAAATAATTGAACGTAATGTAGTTGTTGTCGGAATGAAATTTTGGTAATTAATATAATTAATTTCTAGACTATTCAAACTTGAGAATAATTAACTTAGTTTTCTTGATGTGACTTTGGATTTTCTGTAGTGGCACAACAACAAAATAAATTCGTGCTTTTGCTTGATACTGCATAATTAACTTGCTGGCCTGCGGGTCAAAATACACTTTTGGAATAAAATTTAAGTTATACGTGTTTGTTTACCGTGTGTAACTTTTATTAATTCGAGTAGAAGACATCTTATTCCAAACTTGTTCGTGTGTTTTTGTTCGTGTGAAAAAGAAAAGTATCAAAAACTTCTAATTGAATTATATTCTACATAAATGATGTCGTACGCCCGTAAATGTATTTTTTTATACGATTCCTTATAGTTTAGAAATTTATAAATATACTTTTTTTATGTATTTAAAAAACGTGATAACTCGAAAAACTATTAAATCTTATCGTAAAATATTCTACTCGCCGTGTTTACGATGCTTAAAAAAGAAGATTCCTCTTAACCTTTCTGTTATAATTTTTATTGATTTTAATAATATTTAAAGTTATTATTTTTATTTATTTATTTATTTTAAAGTTAACATGGAAGAATTTGCGAATTTTAACATTTAGAAACGAGTATGGTTCGTCCTATTGACACGTAATTAATGGCAGAATAAGTTTGCCGTCTGTGCGGTTGGTATTAAATAATTTATAATTGCCTTTGGCTCAATTGAAAATATCCTTTTTCGACTTTCACCTTTCAAATTGGTGTTGACATCGAGTTATAAGCATGCGCAGTGGTTAGCGGTGTTGTCGGTCAGGTGCCAGACTGTCGCACGCTTATAACATATGAGTTGCATGCAACGATAAACCGCTAATTATCGGGCAGAAGTGGGATTTTTTTGTGCCATTTCCGAAAGAAAATAGGACATAACTTACATAATTGTATTTTATATTGATATTTTGAAATGTATTTATTTATTTGGGGACAGCGACGATAAGCGACACACAGAAATTGTGACTGGAAACAAGGAAAATTGAGGATGTGGCGGGAGAGAAAATGTAGTTTTTCGTTAAAATTTATGCAATTTTTTAAATGAATATTAAAATAATTTATAATTTGGAAGCATCAATAAGTCTAGATGTAATCGATAAATATACCTTTTTTTTCGATTTAAAAAAAATAGATTAAAAATAATAATGAAATTAAATTTATTGAGTATCGATCTCCTCAAGTACATTTATAACAAGGCTTCGGGTATAACTCGAATAGGATTTGTGGCTGTTGTACGAACTAACAAGGCATGCATCACTTTCCAGCAGTGGAGGAACCTCTTGTTTGATTTTTTTGTAGGCTAAAATCAAATTTAGAATTCACCTTAGTATCTCGGCAATACAGCGACATTTCTGCACTAGGAGCACTTTAATTCTTTTGACGAATGGGATCCGTGACGGGCATCGTAGATTAACTCTCGTCCATTTAGCCGAGTACGGTTTACAGAAAGGGCAGGACTGGAAAGTTTTGTTAGAAGTCTGAGGGATGTAGAAGGAATTACATTGGCCGTAACAGAAATGGTTCATGATTGTTTTAGAAACACAACCCCTTTCGGAAATTTTTTGCCACAACGGTTCCGTTCTGCACCAATCTTTTTTTAATCGATTTGCACGCGTTATGATTACTGAAGGATTACTCGATTGCAACAAAGATGCCGCTTGTCTCTCAACATACCTTTCCGGTTTTTTTTTCCTTCCGTGCCTGCATCTCCGTTTATCGTTTTGCAAAACCGAAACCAGTTTGGCCAAAATCTCCAATCTGTCCGAAGAACGATTCCAATCCGATGTTAAACCGGATGACGTGTCTGCAAGCTCCTCTTCCACGTTAAGCCGTCCGTCGACTAAGATTAAGGAAATCATCAAAGAAACAAACCACAATGTAAATAAAAGTGTCATGCCTCTATCCGACACACTTACGCCGTCTTGTTTGCAAAGGAGACAGAGAACCGACTTCCAGCATCCCGGTCCCACCTACGAGACACCTTACTTGGATGTGGCGCCAGAGTCCCAGCCGGCCCTGGCACGCGCCACGCGGCCCTCCATTCAACTGCAATCTCCATTGACTCCGATTGGCCGCCATCCAAGGCGACGGCTCTGCCATAACCGAACACTGATTACAAAATGATTGTGGCGGCGTCTTGGCGGCCGAGATCGTTCGTCTGATAACCCCTTCGACGTGACGTCACCTCCCTTCCCTCGGCTCAACCCTCCTCGTGACCTACTTGTCCATCGTCTATCCCCGGGTGGTGCATCACTGGCTCTTCCCATCCCTCCACTCGCTTATCCATTCTTTCCAATTTTTACGTGGTTCCTTCCTCTCAACGTTTCCACACTAAATATATAACCTTGTAAGGCTCGACAGACTCTTCCTATACAAAAGCCTATAAATTTTCCTCGCTAATCACTCTCGGTTAAGTCCGAGAACCATTTTTTTTCCCCTTTTGGATCATTAAAATTTGCATTTTATTTTGAATCACCTATCACCGACACCCACGGGACGACCGATCAGAATTTTTTATAGATTACACCCCACAACGTCCCACTCGTCATTGCAAACTGTCACCGCCCAATCGACTTATTATACAGTTGAACGATCTGCACTTGGACTTTAATGTATAGACCCATTAACATAATTCTAAGTTTGATCATTCATTTCGTCCGAATATTAAAAAAATAAAATAAAATACAGTAATAAAGGGGGAGAACGAGAGAGATTTTCTAAAATTACAATTTTCCTACGCGGAAATTAACTAGAGAATCTCTAAATACGAACATATCAATAGAAAAACTATGCATTTTTTTTTAAATTCATAAAATGTGAATGAAAAAGATTAAAATTTTTTATCTTAACTACTAGTTACAGAAACAATAGAATCAGCTGAATTAATCAGATTGCCTGGAAAGATCAGCCAATAAAAAATGGGTAATAAAATACCGAATCGAGTTGTAGATAAGTCCTTTTCTAGAACCGATATTTCCTCCCCTCCTCTTTAATTTTCCCTTCCCCATTTTCGTAGGGAGTAAGAAGAAGAGGAGGAGGAGGAGGAGGAGGAGGAGGAGGAGGCGAGGAAACGGAAGTGTAGAAAATTTTCTTAAAAATGAAGTCGTCGGAAAGTCTGACAAACGAGCTGTGTTGGCGTCAAGCGAAATTTTCCCACGACTGGAGAGTTTGTCGGCCAAACTGGCGTCCCAGGTACGTTGTCCGTCTCAACCGAAATCTTCAGGTGGGGAAGACAGATCAAAGGTATAGCCTGGAGCGTAGGGAGTGGGGGTAGCTAAGCCATTTATTATGATTTTCTAAAGAATGTTTCATATTGAACGAATCCCTTACAAAAAGAAAAAATAAAATAAAAATAACCCATGTTTCTGACAAGCTAGAGAAACATATCTTGTCATTTTTCCTATCACTTATCCTCCTGAAAGTCGTAAAATTAAAACTTCCTCGTTGTCACAAGGACGAATATTAGGTGATAGATTTTAAAAAAAGTGTGTATATATATATATAGGGTGGTTTACTTCCTTAAACGAGATTGTTCTTGTCAAAGATTACACCCCATTTTTCATTTTATTATCGCTTTTTAAAATTAGAAAGTTTGCGTTTTATTATTAAAATTTCTACTGAAATTTATGAAAAATTTTGTTTTGTAAGGATAAATTTAATGGAGCATGAATGCCACACAGAATATAACTAAGAGCCATTTTTGTGTGTAGAATTTAATAAACGATCGGCTAGTGACAGCTGTAAGCAAGAGAATTTAGAGAAATTTATATATTTGAATATAAATACTACAACAATACGACAATTTGGTTTTGTAGTAGATCCAGGTTAGCGATTGAAACACCTCAGGCAGACACTAATTGAATGTAAGGCGCCTTCCTGATAACACAATCATTCGAGTTTTCCTGGTTGGCAACTTCTCTGCAAAACAATTTAACATCAATTCTAACTTTTTTGATAAAAAAAAATTCTTTTTTTTCACTAAATTAAGAAGAAATTTACCTGCGAGTAGTGAAAAGAGAAAATTATAATTTATAACCTATAAAAAGTTATATATGTATATATATATTATGTAAGATTAATAGAAGCGGCAAGATGACAAATCGAACGTTTGCAGTATGCGAGACAAATTACCAGATAACTTAATTGGGGTTTGCGGCATGGAAAAAAAAACTTACCGATATAATTAGAAGGCGAGAGACTATCTAAAAAAGTAACTTCAGTTCATAATAAATGAACTTCATCGAGTTGACTCTATCTCTTAGTAGTCAACCCGATTAACCGATAAATGTTTATATCTTTAATTTAATCTTAAGTAACACGAGAAAAATCAGTTTAAAACCGAATAAATTCGCTTAATTTTTACGATTAAAAAAAAAAAAAAAAAAGAAAAATGTCTTTTTCTGCAATCGTCGCGCTCGAGAGTTACCGTGTGAAATCGACTATTCTGCAGTTGCGAGCGACAGGAGATCGGTTTCAAAATCTCGATGGCTTCTCGGTTTAATTTTAGCTTAATTTAGATATTTAGAATGACAAGGAATTAGGATTTTAGGCTCTCAATCTAGGACTAGAAAACATTTTTGCGTGGGATCCCACTCAGTCCTAGTTACGCTATCTAATCAGGCAATATAAATGCAATTAAAGCAGGCCTGTATAAATTGTCGTCATAATTCAGTTAATTTGAAATTATGTCTTAATTCATTATAATATGAGTTTATTTTAACAAAAAAAAATATACACTATCACCACTTTTAAATAAGCGTAATTATAATATATTTAAATCTTTAACAATTATAAAAAAAACACGAGGATTTTTTTAATTGCTGTAACATAAACCAAATCCAGTTTTTCCCCTCCTTCATATTAATAAATAAAATAATTATTTAGGGTACGTAAATCATTAAAATACAGTCAAACCTGTTAACAACGGCCACTGGCAGGAAGGTAAAAAAAATGGCCGTTGTTTGCAGGTAATTTTGTATGCATTTTTCTTCACAAAAAGTTCTTGTATTTAAATAGCTGGCGGTCATTGGGAGATGGCCTTTATTAGAGGTTATACCTAATATCTATTTAATTAATTATACTAAAAAATCATAGAGAGAAATTCAAATTATAAAAGATCAATGTCAACNCCATGCAATCATCAATCCTCCTATGCAAGACCGGTGATCCTCTTTAAGACTGTTTAATAATAATAACAATAATTATAATTTATTATTATTATTGTTGTTGTCTTGTTGTATACCTTGTCTTTCTTATCTTAATCTTCACTATCGTTACTTTTTGCCCACAAATAAAAACCCAGCGAAGTGGGTCCTTGAAACTAGTTGGTAATAATAACAATAATTATAATAAATATTATAATTACGCAAATAATAGCGATGAAGTAAACGTCACATGATTTCGTCACAATGGATCTCTAAAGAAATAATTACTCTAGATAAGTGAAATAATAAAAAAAAGGGGGTGAAAAATGTGTGTTACGGTAAATAGATGGAATTTATATCGTAATTCAGATCAAACACGGATATAAAAGTCAACTCTGTGGTAAACTGTTATAAAATATACAAGTATGCATTATATGTTGTAAAGTATGTTACAAAGTATACAAAGTATAGCGTTATATGTTATAAAGTATGTTACAAAGTATACAAAGTATGGCGTTATATGTTATAAAGTATGTTACAAAGTATACAAAGTATACATTATATATTACAAAGTATACAAAGTATGCATTATATATTACAAAGTATAGAAAGTATGGCATTGTATGTTATAAAGTATGTTACAAAGTATACAAAGTATGCATTATATATTACAAAGTATACAAAGTATGGCGTTATATGTTATAAAGTATGTTACAAAGTATACAAAGTATGGCGTTATATGTTATAAAGTATGTTACAAAGTATACAAAGTATGGCGTTATATGTTATAAAGTATGTTACAAAGTATACAAAGTATACATTATATATTACAAAGTATACAAAGTATACATTATATATTACAAAGTATACAAAGTATGCATTATATATTACAAAGTATACAAAGTATGGCATTGTATGTTATAAAGTATGTTACAAAGTATACAAAGTATGGCGTTATATGTTATAAAGTATGTTACAAAGTATACAAAGTATGCATTATATATTACAAAGTATACAAAGTATGGCATTGTATGTTATAAAGTATGTTACAAAGTATACAAAGTATGGCATTATATGTGTTACAAGATATGCAAAGCTAGCATACATTTCATCAATGTACGCATTATATGCCGATAATTAATATTTTTTATGCATACATGCACTTAACCATATATAAATTTTACATCCACATATACAAGATATATACATATATCTCGTATTATATACACGTATATGTGTATATAATTTATTATCTCGTATATATACACATATACATATGAAAATTGCAAATACAGTACACAAACACAATCAGGAGCTGTCTATAAATTACGTAACGCAGTTGCGGGTGTATGCAGTTAAGGGGCAGTTAAAACACATAAAAATAGTGTTACGTAATTTATGGACGACCAGAATCACATACATTTTCCGGTTTGGCAGGTTTCCGTTTTACCCAGGTTCTGTTTTAGACAGGTTTCATTATATAATTCATATGTTTCAGACTTCAAATAGCATTATACTTAAATATATTTATTTTAGTGTAATGTATAATAATAATAAATAAATAAATAATAAAAATAAGTAAAATGCAGCCAAACCTCCGAACTGTTTATCTTAATTGAATACAGTAAAACCTGTCTAAAACGGAAANATATGTTTCAGACTTCAAATAGCATTATACTTAAATATATTTATTTTAGTGTAATGTATAATAATAATAAATAAATAAATAATAAAAATAAGTAAAATGCAGCCAAACCTCCGAACTGTTTATCTTAATTGAATACAGTAAAACCTGTCTAAAACGGAAACTTGCCTAAACCTGTCTAAAACGGAAACCTGTTAAAAAAAACAATCTGTTTTCTCCGTTTAGGCAGGTTTTCGTTGTATTGAGATTCCATTTTAGATAGGTTTTACTGTAATTTAATAAAGATAAAACGGTTTTAGATCACTTAAATTTCGAATCTGCATCGAAATTCGGTTTACAATTATAGTTTTTTTTCATTATTTTAAACACTTCAACAACACTAACGTGGAATTTTTACGTGTAATTTTATCAAAAATGTATTTTAGATAAGAAAATATATCTTGTGTTAACGTCAGGTTACTGAACTTGCCTCTTACTAGAGACTAATAAAAGTAATAAAATCAATATTTGCTTAAAGAAAACTTTCTTATCGCTACAAATTATGTTATATTATTATCTCTTTTATAAATATGCATTATATCCTCTATGAAACTTTGTTACCGACTTTCTTAGAAAATTTTATAACTAATTTTTCTAAAATATATAAAACAATACCGATTTTATAATAATAATAGTAATTATAATAGCATCCTCCGCTCCTCATCCTTAACGTCAACATCCCACCAACGTAAAAGAAAATTGCCTTAATATCTGTAAACTACAGTAAAACCTGTCTAAAACGGAACGTAAACACCTCTAATAACGTCTACCTTTAAACGGCGGCTATTTTTACGGAATATTTTGTATAAAATGTCTATAAAATAACCTCCAGATAGCATCTACCTCCGAACAACAGCGAATTTTTTTACGCTTCCGTCAGTGGCCGTGGTGGAGAGGTTGGACTGTATTTACCTTTCGACTTAATTACGTCAATTATTAAGTAATATGTAGCTGTTTTATTAGTACATTTGAAAGGTGCAGTCCGCGTAATTGTCGATAAATGAACTTTTCGATGTGAGATGTTTCCGCATCACTCGTCGTGATTCATCAAGCAAATGAGAGAGGGGGAAAAAAATACTTGTACAAGAGAGAATTTAATGATGTTCAGTTTCCTACACTTTAATTTACAATTTTATCTACAAAATTAAGAATTTGTGCGATAAACTAATAACGTTCCAAATGCACCGTGCGCCGTTAGAAAAGGTAAAATGTTCGTTAAATGAAACATAATTAAAGTACAGAAATGGGGTACACATTTTTATGAATTAATACGAAATTTTCGCTTATAATTAAAGAATTTTTTTTATATTTATACGTTTTTTTTCTTATAAAAAATGTTTCTTGTGTTTGCGGGTTATTTTGTATGCTTTTTTGTCCCGAAAGATTCTTCTGATGGCTATTTTAGAGAGGTTATTTTGTATGCTTTTTTTTCCCGAAAGATTCTTCTGATGGCCATTTTAGAGAGGTTATTTTGTATGCTTTTTTGTCCCGAAAGATTCTTCTGGTGGCCATTTTAAACAGGTTATTTTGTATGGTTTTTTTGTCCCGAAAGATTCTTCTGATGGCCATTTTAAACAGGTTATTTTGTATGGATTTTTGTCCCGAAAGATTCTTCTGATGGCCGTTGTTTGAAGGTTGTTTTTATATTCATATCAAAACGAAAAGTTCTCGAAGAAATGACCGCCGTTTAGAGGTGGTCGTTGTTACGAGGCGGTCGTTATTACAGGTCGAGATCGTATATAAAAAATTTTAATGATTTTATGGCTTATCCCTTAAAAATATTTACAATTCATTCTCTAAACAACGAAATAACGGGACAAGTTATAGTAAACAATATTAAAATTTTAAAGTGAATAAAAGTATTGTTGGAAATAAAACATAATTTTGAGATCTGTCAACAGAAAATACATTTCCTTCCGCTTTGATTTACGATTTCACTTTGAAATCTTTCTACTAAATTTTGGATTTACTTATCTATCCTGAGAAGAATAAGCGAGAAATGATAAAAAAATATATCATGTTATAAAATTTATTTTACTAGAAAACTGAAAAGTTTTTTTTATTATTATTATTTTTCTGATAAATAATAGAAAAACGAAATTCTTTTGTAAATACATTCAAACCTCTAAACAACGGCCAGCGAGAGAAGTATAAAAGATGGCTTTCGTTTGAAGGTTGTTTCGTATGCATTTTTCTCTAGAAAAAGTTTATTTTCCGCGATTTGGAGGTTATTTTTTTTTACTCATTTCAAAACGAAACGTTCCCGAATAAATGGCTACCGTTTATAGGTGTCCGTTTTAGAGAGGTGGCCGTTATTACAGGTCGACCGTACAATATTTACTCTCGAAATATAACGAAGAATGAAGACAATTTACAGTTTTTTAAGCTCGTTTTAATCGATAAAACACCTTGTATATTTAATTAAAGATACATTTTGAATACTTTCTTACACCCGTAACCAGTTAAAAAAGGATAGAATAATAATAAAAAAAGTAAACTAGAATTATTAAGAACCAGTATTAAAATCAATTAGTTATGAAAAATTATCTGCTGAGAGACTAAGACACCATTTTCTNTCCAGAAAATTATATTTAAAAATAATAAAAAAAATAAAATAGATTTTAAGAATTACTTTATGTATTATAATTATATTGACTTTTATAAACAATTTTATAAATCTTAAATCACTCCAATCCATTTTATGAAGGAGCAGCGGGAAGATGAGGAGGAAGAGGAGGAGGAGGAGGAGAAGCAAGAAGATAAGGAAAAAAAAAAAAATTGAGATTTCTCGATATGTAAATGAACTTTAGCTATATTTATGCCGATGACATCTTTATTTATGTGAACGATATGCCATGTGAATTCTTAATTAATGTGGAGCACGACACACGACATGCCTGAATCATAGTTGCTACTAAATCATCGCTTCAAATCGATACCTTTACGACAAAACATTTTATCATGTAATATTATAAGCAATCGAATTTAACCGATTAAAAAAAATATATTTATAAAATTTTTTTAAAAAAAGAATTATTATTATTAAGTAAAATTTACATGATATAATCTTATTTAAATAATTTAAAACTTCTAAACTCTTATTAAATATACAAATGCAAATGAAGTGAATTTTTTAAAATCATTATTTATGTTAATTTTGTGAAAATTCTGTATACATTTCACACTTTATTTATGTAAAAAATAATGAATTATTTATTTATTTTTTCATTTATATAAAAAAAAATAATTTTGGAAATAAATAAAAACAAAATCTAAAGGTGTTTTAGTGATGATTATCTTCGATATTGAAGGAATTTTTTTGGTAATTTAGCATCTTTAGGCTTCTCTAATATTTTTTTTGATGAATAATACGATGTTTTCTTCAATTTAAATAATATTTTTATCATTATTTTTTGAAGTTTCTACCAGCAGAAATTCGTCTGACGAATCTTCACGAATTCTTCTGTCATTTTCTATAATTTAAACATATAAAATTCTTAATTAAAAACATAGATAAATAATTAAAAATTTATAACGTCGAAGGATCGTCAATGAAACCCACTTTAAAAAAATAAAGAAAATAATTGCAAATTAATTCAAAAATTATAATTAAAATTCGGGTGTAGCACGCACTTAAAACTTGATTTATGAATGATGCGAAGTGAATTAGAAATTTTAAATGTATTTAAATATAATTTCTATGTATATAATTATGTAAAATATAGAAAATAAAAGAGATTCTCTTGTTTATATTACATAGAGATTTACATACATCGATTTTTATTTTATTTATTTTTACGTAAGAAAATAAACAAATTTATCAAATTGCTTGATTTATTTTTGTATTTTGCTCGTATCTTTTATGTTATTTTATTATATAACTTTATATCTAATTAATTAATTATAAAACTAGTTTTTAGAAGTAAAAAAGATTAAAATTAAGGTAATTTATAAATGAAAGTTTCGATACCTGATTTGTTTGATGAAATTATATGGAGTTGTTCTGCTTGATCATTAATTTTTTCCTCTGCATCTAGAATTTTAAATAATAAATAAATAAATAATATAATATTTTTTAATACATTTAAACAATAAATATGAATAAATATGAAAATAAAATACGTACCTCGTTGTTTGTTTTTATTAAAATTTGTTTTCTTAATTGGAAATCGTCTTAGATTTCTTTGTTTTCGAATTTGCATGAATTCATCTGAAATTATTTTCTAATTAAAGTGTTTCTTTCTTTTTTTTTATCCTTTTTTTTAATTTAAAATTTGAGAAAGAAGTTAATTTTTAGAGAAGAGAAAAATTCGAATTAGAAAAATTAATTATTAGAAGGTAGATAATACCTACAACTCTGGGGAATCCGGGAGCGAATCTGGATGGGTAACTCATTAGGAATTTTTCATGGGTGTGGGTGATTTATTCGGGATTTTTTTGATTCCTTCTCTTACTATCCCATTATGGGCCTGGCCGAATCTATCTTGGGCATAGGAAAAAGGTTCACTTTGTGCCCACATCTTCCTGTGATGATTTTTATGGGAAACTGCCCTATGTAGGTGTCACACACGTAAATAAAACACGAAAACACCACTATTTAAGTGTCATACATGTAAAAGAAACCAGAAAACTCCACTATTCAAATGTCACACGTGAATAAAACCCGAAAATTCAACGTGGCAAGCCAGTTGTTGAGGCGCAAACCCGTAACCAACTTCAGTGTTCGGTGGTTTTATCTACCGGGCCACTGGTTGGACTAATTATAAAAAAGTTAGTTTGATTTGTATTAAAAAAAAGTATTAAAAAAAAGTAAATTTATTTGGTTAAGCGCTGAAAAAACTAGAAAAAAATATCGAATTTTTTATATCTTAACAAACTAAATTCAGTTTCTACATAAAAATTGATCGATTCAAAAACAAACAAATCAAATTATCTTACTGTAAGCTTTCTGTTTTCTAATATTAACTAGAGCTTTTCTTAATTCAACGGCTTCTTTCTTATCCAATTCATCAAGTTTCCTCATTTCTTCCTCTATGGGAATTTGAATTTCTTGATATTTTCTCATAAAATTAGCTCGTTCTTGCTTCTGAATAATTAAAAGATTTAGTAAATTCCCTCTTTCTTAACAATAAAAAACTACATAAAAAATTCATTAACTTTTTTAAATCTGTCAATCTCGGCAACGATTTTCATATCTTGATGCCTTTCTTCGTGCTCTTTAATCTTCTTCATCCATTCAAACATCATCAATTGTTTACGTTCCATTGACTGTAAACATCGAAAAAAAACTCTAAAAATTAGAAATTTAGTTAAATTATTTAAAAATATAGACAAACCCTTTCTTTAATTTCTTTCTTTTCTAATAATTGACGTTCGATTCCATTCAGGCGTTTGTTGTTTGCAGAATCCATCAATTCTTCTCGTTTCCACCACGGATTTCTCTTGACGTCGGCCGTATAAAATCTTAAATATCTTATTAAAAAAATAAAGATTTATCCTCAAAAATCATTTTATTTTGTCAAAACAAACCGGAAAGTTTCTTAATTCCAATTTTAACGATATTAAGTAGTGAAAAATTCCTTCTGAGCCAACCTTTTTCTTTCAGCCTCATCTAAATCTCTAAGTTGACGACATAAGTCGATACAACGAGCTCTCTTTTCCTGAATCGACCGATATTCTGTGGAATTCCAGTATTGCTGAAGTCTCCTACGCTCTAAAATTGCTTTTTCGTATAACATATTCTCGTACTATTATAAAGTAACGACGTACAATTAAATTCTCTCCCGAAAAAGCACAGTGGTCCCTCGTTATATCGCGATGTATAACGTGATTTTTTTTTCTTCAAATATTATCGGTTATATCGTGTCATCTTAAACGAGCGATATAACGAAGAACCGCTTCTGTATAAAAGGAAATTTATATTATACAATACCTCTCGCCTTCTGAATTGTTTAATTTCATTTACATGGAGTCTGTTTAGATAAGCTCTATACTTATTAAAATCGGCCAAGTTTACGATAACGCGATTACTCTCCGAGATAAATCCCTCCTTCATCAAATGGCGATAAATGCTAGGACGATAAAAGTAATGGCGACAGTTCGGATCACTAAGAGCATTATATTCATTGGAAGGAAGATAATGTAAGTATGGATCGCTCAAATCAAAGTCCTGGTGAGGATATTTTCGATATAACTGCAAGGAAATGATACAAACATGTTAAAATTCCTTAGATGAGAATTATTCTACAACAGTTTCTTAACCGGGATGCACAGTACCATTGGGTACGAGTGGTAACGATGAGAATCCCTGGCGCAAAGTTCTCATCTTTAGATAATGTAAATATAAACTTTAAAGCTGTCTTATACAATATAAATTTGGCTCGACTTACTGGGTACTATCAGAGCCCACGTGTGGATTTAGCCACCAGCGCTGTAGCGAAGTGGATGAAAGTGTCAGTAACGTAACCAGGAGATCTTGTCTCCCCAGTTACTACGCTATTGATTTCATTTCTCTCTAAAAGTAACTGTTACTAGTGAAATTCTCTAGAACTCTATGTAATTTTGCTACCTTTAACACAATTTTGAAAGGATGCAAGACAATATACAGAGATTCAAAGGGGTGCCGATTACTAAAAAGATTAAGAAACACCGCTCTAGAAGTAACTCTAGAAGACTTACCGATTGAGTTAATTGTCTAGTTGTTAACAGAAATTCTTCTCTGGGTAATAGACCGACGGGTATTTTCGATTCTGAGATTAATTTTAGCCATCTTGGAAAAGATTTAAGGGGTGTCCCTCCTGGAAGAGGTTTAACCGGTTGCTTGACGATGGCATATTCTCTCGGAAGATGCAGAGTTCTCATCTTGATTTTCTTCGCTTTATAATAATGCAAAATCGATATTAATTTAAAATTTATTTTATAACAATATAAAATTAACAAATATAAATAAAAATAACTGCAACAATTAACATAAAAAAATAATAATAATAAAAAAAGTAAACTAGAATTATTAAGAACCAGTATTAAAATCAATTAGTTATGAAAAATTATCTGCTGAGAGACTAAGACACCATTTTCTATTCGTGAGTTGCGTGAATAATAACACTTTGCAAGGGGTCTTCCCCCTCCCCGATGATGAATACTTATCGAATGATTCTTTAATATTAAGAAGCAATTCGATGTGTGTATGCATGTTGCTTATAATTCTTCCATTTATCTAGACAAAATTTCTTAAGATAAATGACTGAAAATAAAACTAGAAGCACGAATATTTAAATGTCCCTCGATACAAGTGACAAGAAACAAGATTAATATGGCTCAAACTATAATTAAAATATTAAATATGTATCATATACTTATACATTTACATTAAGAACTTAATTATCATAAAAGATTTTTTCGCTAATTAAAATATAATAATGGTAATTTATTTGTTTTTTCTTTTTACTTTTTGTTTTCGATTATTATTTATATACGGTAAAACCTGTCTAAACTGAGCGATTTTCTATGTGAAATATTTTAAATTCTGCCCCGCTCCTGAGCCAAAATGGCAATCTAGGATCCACGGATATGGCCCAAATTTAAATTTCGATATTCTTACTACGGCTGTGAGTTTATAAAAAATTGGTTTGGGGCCTTCTTGTTGGTGGGGGCCCTAAAAAATCGCTCTTTTTGCCCATAGGATAAGTGTGGTGCACGATTCTGTTCGCTCACTTTGAAGCTCAATAACTTCCGTACCTTTTGTCGAAAATTTCTGAAATTTTGTAGGGAGTTTTGTGTATTTATGGGGTTAAGGTTACTAAATTTTGGTGGTCAAAGGTCGAGGGGGTGGCGAGATAGAGAAAGTTACGTTACGTATCTCGAATGGGATCGGACTTAACAAAGATTCTACTCGTTATTAGCATTTACAATTATTATAAAACTCACCTCAACCCTCAAAAAATTAATTAACTTTTTGCAATTTTATAATAAAATCTCATAACAGATGGCTCCACACACAATTTTAACTTTTTTTTTTTGCCGGAAAAGTCACGCAACTAGATCGTGTTTAAATAGTAAAAAAAATGGTTATTTTATTATTATTTAAAGCCCAATTTTAACAATAATATTCAGCAATTTAAAGGTGACGATAAAGGATAATCGTTACGTTGTGTTGAAGACATGTTGTGGAGTTTCGGATAAAATTTACAAGGGAAAAAACAAGGAAATGGGATAGAAGCTGCTGCATTATTGGTTTTATCGAATTCATTTTACACTATCCTTTCAATAAAAAAGTGCCATTAAGCTTTAAACGAATAACCCGAAGTTAAATTCGAAGCAAAATGAGCAAAATTAATCACGTAGCAAACGTAATCCTCAGGTCATTCTCTCCTTTTTATTTCAAGATTTTTTTAATATTTCCCTAATCTTAACAGCTTCCGAAGTTAATTTAATATTATTACTATAGTCTACATCATTAAATAGTCGATATTTATTCATCTTAAATCTTATTTTTCCTGATTTTTCGATGTTAATTACAGTCTTNTTAGAAGTAATTACAATTCTTTTTAGTCATAAAATAATAATATAATATATATAAATGAAAGAAGTATTTTGTGTATTAAATTCTTAATGGATGTCTACTTATGTTCTTCCTAAGTTATTAGATATTCTTGCTGGTTATTTGGCATAAAAATTGTCTTGAATAAATAAGAAACATCAAGAATAAACGAGCAGAATACTTCTTTCATTTATATATTATATTATATTATATATTGCCATTAGGAGGGTCTTTTTTCCAATACTCGTTTTAGGTTGGACCAGGCTCACAACGGTAAAGAACTAGTCTATTATATACCAGGAATACACCAGGATTTTTCGACTATCCGGATTCGAACCCGGATCCCATAGTGGTATGATGACTCTTTCGCATATATTTGATTACGTTTATGCCAGGTTTCACAATTCTATATATATGTAGGAAGACGATAATTAAATTACCCCTATTTAATACTGTGTGGAGAGATATTTAGCAGTCCAAATGCAACTAAATTTGATATGATGGCATTTTGGGATATATGGAAGACATTTCCACAAAAAATTAATTAGTACTAAAACTCGTCACTGTGGCAGTTTTGGCGCTGCAGGCAAAGAAAAATCAGTTCGTGGGAAATTTTTAAATGTGGTTTAATTTAAGACACGTTGCAAGTTTGGCAGCAACGAAAGACAGCTTCACGAAGCATTACAAAGAATCAATAACGATCGGTCGTTGAACACACTGTTCATCACCTTCAGAATGGAAATCACATTTAACATTATTCCTTGTATAGCACGAGTGGTATTGTACAAATAACGTTTGTTAGCTTGCAACGCCAAAAGTGCCCTACTGGCGAGTTTTGGTACCAATTTATTACGTAAATATCTTCCTCGTGTCCTGAAATGTCACCATACTAAATTTGGTCGCATTTAACTGTTACCAGTCTCTCTAGACATCGTTAAACGGGGGCATTTTAATTACTATTATTTAATATATAAATTTTTAAAAGCCCCTTAAGACCATAGAACATTTTAAGGGAGCCAGAGACCAAAACTTAACTTTTGTACTCAACTTTTTGTAATATTTTATATCTAATGTTTATTTTTTAAGTTTTCCCCGAGCTACCATTACGGAGGCCAAGCTCAAAAGGGGTCAAAGGTCAAAAAGAGATTAAAAAACAGTGACGTAGACGATCGGATGTCCGAGCGGAAGGCATCAATCTCTACTCTAGAAGGCCCGGGATCGATCCGGAAAGGGTCAACAAACCCCAGGAATTTTTCGGCGATGGTCCCATTATGGGCCTGGCCGAACCATAATGGACTTGCTAAAAGGTACTCTTGGTGCCCACAGGTCAGGATGACTTCAATATATAAATATATATATATATATTTCATCCTCTTCTCTCTCCTTCTCGCTCTCTGATACAAATTTAATTCAAAAATAAAGAGACTCATGAATAGAATANAGATTATATATATATATATATAATAAAGATTTTATCACATATATTTTATACAGTCGAACCCCATTAATACAAAGTGGAAGGAATTTGAAACCCCGCTCGATATACGACACACGACCCCCTCCTAACTTCCCACCCCTTGACCTTCAACCACCAAAATTTAATAGTATTAATGCCAGTAATATACAAACCTCTCTTCAAAATTTTATAAATTTTCCATAAAAACTATAGGAATTATTAAGTAGACAAAATCGCACCCCACACACTCACACTAACATCAATACATACAAGAAAAATCCCTAACTTTTTTGCATTTCTCGATGTTTCAAGGCCCCCTGTAACAGTCGAGAAAGTAAAAATGTCCTCCATTCTAATAAAATTTCACTTTATCTTTAATGTTATAGATTTGCGTGATCTTTCAACCACATTTTCTCTAGTAGCTGTACTTCCATTCTTGTTCTAAAGCACAAATCTATAAAAAAAAGAAAAGTCAAGGTACGATATTAGTATACACAATAAACCGCTGCAACGTAGTACATGCTTATTATAAAAAAATTTATAGCATCCAACTTCACAAAAATGGAGATTTAAAATAAATTTACTGTTAAGTAACGAGCCACTAAAGTATACAACAAGTGTATTGTATAGAGAATAATGCACAACAAAATGTAACTTTCCCATAAACACGAGCCGAATTGTTGCTTCCTCCATTTCTTATAACGAGGGAACAAAAATGGAATTTAGAGTAAATTAAGGGAAAAGTTTCAAGCAGGAGAATATTCAAATTGTACATCAAACCATCGTAAAACAAGGAAATATTTTATATACAGGAAAGAATAAGAAACAATTGATGATGTTCTTCAGAATTGTGAAGAGAGATTTTATGAGGAAATAAAAATGTTAAATAGTTAAATAAGCAACGCGTTATCCTGTATGCAAAAAAAAGGATAATTACCTGAGGCTACACCAATAGGAGGCCCCAAATAAATCTTTTATAATAAAATATTTTCCAAAATTTCTCCGAAGAGAAATGTTTGAAGTATGTTTCATGAAAAGACTAGATAAATCTAAGATAGAATACATAGACTATTCAGTTTTATATATCAAAAATCTCTTGAAATATTATAAAATATTTTCGATTTTATTTTATTTTCAGTAACATCAGTTTGCAATTTAAACTAAAAACTGTAAACCAGATTCAATTTCTGTAAACTTACCATTGAAAATAGAAGAATATTTTCGAATCAATTTAAAACTACGCGAAAGTTTTCTCGTAAATCGAATAAAATTTCGAAAATCGATACGTCAAAATTATAAATATTGTCGTATAAAACCTGCATAAACCGGACTCGCACTGTACCGAACATATTTTAATTTTACTTTGTCAGTTTATAAGCAAGGGAATTTCTTTATCAGAGCATCACAAATTATAAAAGAAATTACAAATAAATACATATGAAGTCACTTTCTTAGCTTCTGTAGAAATTACTATCGTCCCTATTGATTACATTTCTTCTTTTTCCTGCATATTACAAACTCTAAAATTCATATAATCCGAAGCTTTCAGTTTTTTTTTTTTTTTTTGTCCTTTCCTCGTGTTTCCTCTTCTTTGTCCATTGTCTCCATTGTGTAATCGATGACATATCTATCCGTGCGTAACATACATCTTATTCTTTATACATTTATTTCATAAACCTAATCATATTACTTATTAAGTCTCTATAGTTGAGATGGTTTACAATGAAACATTCTATCTTCTTGAATTTACTTTAAAATAAGGTTTTAGTTTTATGAGTTCTTCTTTAGTTCTCAATTAACGTCCCCTTTCATCTCTAAAACCATTTAGCTTTTTCGATTCGGTTTCTTTATCAATATTATTGGTAATTTTCTCACAGATAATTTCTTTATATTTTCTGATTCTTTTATACTTTATAATTTATGTATTCAATTTCTAAATTTCTCTAGAACTGTAGAGCTAAATTTCTAAAAATTCCGATTTTAATACTTTTTCTTATTAAAAAATTTACAAAGATCTTCTTCTTGCATTTCTTAAGAAGTCTTTCAGACATATTACTGTTATATGAAAACAGAAATAAAATAGGAATAAAAAAGAAAATGGATAAGTGGATCAACATCTTTGTTTATCGCTTCTATTGATTAAGCAATAGAAATAATGAAAACAATTTGATGTGACGAGATAAAGCTAGGATATTAAAGGCTATTAAAGGTGGGGAAACGGTAGATCCTTCTTTTTTTATGACAATGTTAACGTCCCGAAGATGGGCCTATATCGAATCGACAGAGAAAGACGATTTATAGTAGATTGCACTTCGATAGGATGCGTGAGACAAATACAGATATTAATACTCTATTCTATAAAATAATATAAACAATAAATATTATATATATATATATATAATAAAGATTTTATCACATATATTTTATACAGTCGAACCCCATTAATACAAAGTGGAAGGAATTTGAAACCCCGCTCGATATACGACACACGACCCCCTCCTATCTTCCCACCCCTTGACCTTCAACCACCAAAATTTAATAGTATTAATGCCACTAATATACAAACCTCTCTTCAAAATTTTATAAATTTTCCATAAAAACTATAGGAATTATTAAGTAGACAAAATCGCACCCCACACACTCACACTAACATCAATACATACAAGAAAAATCCCTAACTTTTTTGCATTTCTCGATGTTTCAAGGCCCCCTGTAACAGTCGAGAAAGTAAAAATGTCCTCCATTCTAATAAAATTTCACTTTATCTTTAATGTTATAGATTTGCGTGATCTTTCAACCACATTTTCTCTAGTAGCTGTACTTCCATTCTTGTTCTAAAGCACAAATCTATAAAAAAAAGAAAAGTCAAGGTACGATATTAGTATACACAATAAACCGCTGCAACGTAGTACATGCTTATTATAAAAAAAATTTTAGCATCCAACTTCACAAAAATGGAGATTTAAAATAAATTTACTGTTAAGTAACGAGCCACTAAAGTATACAACAAGTGTATTGTATAGAGAATAATGCACAACAAAATGTAACTTTCCCATAAACACGAGCCGAATTGTTGCTTCCTCCATTTCTTATAACGAGGGAACAAAAATGGAATTTTTAGAGTAAATTAAGGGAAAAGTTTCAAGCAGGAGAATATTCAAATTGTACATCAAACCATCGTAAAACAAGGAAATATTTTATATACAGGAAAGAATAAGAAACAATTGATGATGTTCTTCAGAATTGTGAAGAGAGATTTTATGAGAGAAAATAAAAATGTTAAATAGTTAAATAAGCAACGCGTTATCCTGTATGCAAAAAAAAGGATAATTACCTGAGGCTACACCAATAGGAGGCCCCAAATAAATCTTTTATAATAAAATATTTTCCAAAATTTCTCCGAAGAGAAATGTTTGAAGTCAACACTGTACACGGAACCTACTAATTCAAATTTGCCTGGGCCCCATGAAGCTATAAAGCCATTAGTCTGTCGTGTTCCATTCCTCAATACGTGGTCCCCCGTGTAAGCCTGGCTAAGATGGGCCTGAAAAAAAGGCCCTCGAGATAGAAAGGAGAGTGATGTATTAATTCAATAATAATTTCTATTTACATGTTTTTTTTAAATTAAATTTAGTAAATAAGATCATAAAAAAGAAATTTCGCTTTAACGTTCGAGTGCTGTTTTATTATTGGCAATATCTAGATTAAAATAGAAAAATACATTTATTATTAAGAAAAAAATATTTGATGTAATAAAAATCAATGTTATCAAACAGACCGAAATTTTTTTGTCCTCAATCTTATATCGGGAAAAGTATACGACTATCATAAAAATCTAATATTGATACACAAACAAGCGCATACTTCATACAGCGTTGGTGTTTTCGTGGCACGTTTTGGAATGCAAAAGGAAAAATAAATATATTTAATCTCAGATATTTGAATAAAAAAGTATACAAGTCCCCCACCGAACATATTAAACATGCCATTTTATAAAACGTCTCTCACCTGTCACCTCCCTAAAGCGGACAAACTAGTGTTTTCGTGGCACGTTCAGAAGAAAAAATACATACTTTCCCACTCTCAACTGATACCTCCCTAAAACGGGCACCCTTCAACAACAGACAATTTTCATAATACGGTATAAAAAAAAGTATATAACTTCATTACAATTGACTTCTTTTAAGCGTACACTGATTATTACGGACACGGGCACGGTTAATGTATTAACCTGTTATAAGGGACACAGTAGATTCTCGTCGAGTCGACTTCCTTCTATGGAGTTTCTGCGGTTGCAGTCGAATCGATTCCAAAACAATGCTGTATTCCTTGTTGAGTTTCTAAAATCGATTCGACTGCACAATTTTATTATGATAGTAAAATTTCTATGATGGCTAACAGTGCGAATTCGCTTAGTGTCTGTCCGTAAAAAAGAACCCGAACCTCACGACCATAATTAGCAGAAAATAATGTTTTTCAATGAACTAGCATGTCGATGAGGATGGTCGAAAACAGTTTCTGTGGACATTTATTCAGTTTTACAATTGTCTTATAAAGAGAAGCTGCGAGTGTAGATATGGCTTCACATAAATCAATGGCATTAAAAGAGAAAGAGAAATTATTGAATGCTACAAACGAGAGAAGTGCGTAATGAGAAAATTAGCAGAAGTGTTCGAGTTTGGGAAAATGCAAGCTGCGAAAATCGTCAGGAAACAAGAAGAGCCATCAAGTCGTTGGTACCGTAATAACAACGAGCAGCAAATCCGATGCAATTGGAAGATGGGAATGGCGCTCTCGTTGGCAAGGCTCCACAGAATGATTCTGATGAATCAGAAGTTAGAATGTTACAGGACCTTCCAGTACCCAAATTAGATGTCGTGGACTTCAAAGCCTCAAATGAATAGCTTGAAAAAATTCCAAGGCGACATAATATCAAATTCAAAGCATCTGAAGTTGATGGTGATGTAATGGTACAGAGGAAGGCTTACGTTTTCTTCCATTATCACTAGTTACTTTCCAGAAAATGTTCTGAAAACGGACTGTTCTTTCTGCTTGATTCTGCCCTTTGAGGGTTCTGCCCCTTGAGGGTTCTGCCCCAACAATTTAGAATAATTATTAAAAGCCGAATTTCCTTCCAGCAATGAAAATACCTACAATTTTGCGAATAATATTAAGATAACACAGAATTTCGTAAATCCAGTAGTATTTACTATCACTTATGATGATATACGTTATACTTATGCTTATCACTTATTATAATATTGCCATATTACTATTTTTGCATGACAAGCGTGTCATACGTTCTTAAATAGTAGCACTGTACTACGTTTAAAAGATGTTCAATTTAAAGATAATTTTCACGAAATCCTTCTTGGCCAGAAACCTCCCTAAAACGGACAGTTTTCGACCTAAAATGGCCGTTACAAAGATGAATTTTTTACCAGAGAAATATCTTCTCTACATCCCTCGCAATGATTAGCTATTATATAGCTCTAGATATTGTTATAAACACTTGTACTCCGAGGGGAATGCTACACGGGAGGACTTTCTATGGGAATTGACCCCTATTTAGGTCTTAATTATCATCTAAATAAGGACAAGTTTCCCATAAAAGACCCATCCAGAGGCATTCTTCTCGACAGATCGCCCATATTGCTGCAAGTTTAATCAATTCTATAGGAATTTATACAGTCGAACACCCAATAGTAGCCACCTCCCAACGAAGGCCACCACTAAACAGCATATTTTTTTTTGCGCATTTATTTAAAACAAAAATGCATACAAAGCAACTTCTAAACAGCGGCTACCTCCAAACAACGGCCACTTTTTACGTTCTACTCAATGGCCGTCGTTGGGAGGTTTAACTATATAATAAATTAAATTAAATTAAAGTTTAATTACCTTTAAAGATATAAAAAAAATATATATATATCAGTAATTAATTAACAGATTTCTGACATTTATGAACCACTTTATAATTTTCACAAAAATTATTAATTAATATAACTTTTATTATTAAATTTATTAATTAAAGACGATGTAAACTTAATAAATATTCATAAATAACGAGAAAAGTAATGTTAAACTACGAATTTTTTTTCTATCCTTCCTTATAACCGATAATTATACGTGCTACAAAATATTAGGTGTAATTTTATATAAATATTTATGACGTTACATAAGCTTACATTAATTTATGCTACGTAATTAATTCAAGAAGATTAATTATAAAAAAAATCATATTTTTATATGAATTGGTACATGCAAATCCTTCTAGAATAAAAGATCAGTATAGTTTATCTTTACAAGGCGCTGGGCATATTGATTATTA